TTGTGGTTGTTTGCCCCATTTAAATAACAGGTCTGCACAGCTGCCAAAGCCTGTTTGTAGTCTATTAGCCGTCTTCCATACTTTACGTGGCCAGGCAAATCCTGAGGGCATCTGGTTTGTGTTTATCAGGTTATGGGTATCGGGTGGAACCGATTGCATCTCTGTTTGCAACCATTCATTCTTTAATCGAAAATTTGTGATTGCAAGATTTGTGCCGATCTTATCGCTGAGTGTAGGGATCTTAGTCTGGCTAGGCCTGCATCAGCCATGTCTTTGTGGATGGGCAACTCTCTCATTTCCGTTATCTTTCTATGTTCATGAAGAAGAGCATCTTGTCTTCGGAGATGGGGGGGGAGAGCAATGCGGCACAATGTGGGTAGGCAATGGGTTGGAGTGGGTTTAATACATCCCCTGATGGTTCTCATTGTTGTATTGAGTTGGACATGGGTGCTGTGGTGGACACGGGTGCTGTTGAGCCACACTGAAGCACCATATTCTGCAGTACTATACACCAACTCCAAAGCTGAGCATCTTAGTGTCGTAGCCAGGGGTCATTTCGTAGAAAAAGAGGTGCAGGAGCTCATTAGCATAACTCATTAGCATAACATATTTGCATATGTCACACCCCTGACATCACCTGAAGTGTGTCAGAAGGCAACACCCACCGCTCAGGCTCCATGGGACTGTTTTGGATTGCCAGCTATTGGGGGGGGGGAGAACATGCAGATCTGTCCTCGCAGAGGAGGGAGAGCTTGTACCAGAAAAAAACTTGGTCTTAAAGGTGCCACTGGACTGTTTTGGGCTGGGGGGGCTCTGCAACTTACCTGGCTGCTTCTTGCTCTGACTAAGCGCTGCTGGGAGCAGGGGGTGGGGCTTGTTGCATGTGCCCGCCCCCTGGGCTCTTTACTGCCGGAGCTCCGCTCCTGTGCGCTCCTGCAGGAATTGACCCCTGGTCGTAGCAGATGCTCCCCAAGTTGTACCCCAGAACTGGGGTTGCTATGAGTCAGTTGTAACTAGAAGGCATTCTTAAAGATTTTAGAGACTGTACTCCTCTACGCTCATGATTTCGACAGTTTCTTCCCTAACTGTATTTTTCTTCACTGGACAATTGTAAAGAATGCCTGTTTCCCCATGAAGGAGAGTACACCTCTCAATGTTTGCAGAATATTTCAGGGCTGAAGTCAGAAGCGTGCATTCTGGTTTGCAAGAGAGAGGACAAGCTGGTGATGTTAAAATCAGAGAGAGCATTAAATTCCAACTTAGATCAGGTTGGGAGGTTCAGACTCAGTGCGGTCAGCCTCAAGGTGTGTCGGTGGAGGGCTGGGCCTCACGTGACCTTACGTGGGACTAATTTTCGTGGGTGAGGGACTTACACACTTGTGAGTGATTCGTCACAGAACTCCCGTACCACCACAAGAGAGGCCTCTGCCCCAACGATCTTGCAGTCCACGGAGACAAAGAAGACAGCAAAGGGGAGGGCAACCAGCGTAGGCTTGCCAAGTTCCCCTGGGGGGTGGGGAAACCCCCGCCCCAGAGACCCGTTCCCCGCCGCTGCCGGATCGGGCCCTAGGGGGAACTCCACCCTGATGTGCACGTCACCAGGAAGTGATGCAATCACGTGGGGCACGCTGGGGGCGGGGCCATGACCATCTGAGGGAAAACTCTATGGTTTTCCCTCATATGGTCATGGCCCTGCCCACAGCGTGCCCTGCGTGATCGCGTCACTTCCGTGAGATGTGGATGCGGCGCGCGCACGCAGCCCGCTCCAGAATCAAACCGGGAGTCCCCCACTTCAGGACAGGGTAAGACTTGGGAACCCTAAACCAGCGAGGAAGCAGACAAGGGAAGCAAATTTTAGGCTTCAATTCCAGTTGCAAATTTTAGGCTTCGATTCAGATCAAGAGACTTTCTCTAAGATGCAGTGCTTTTGACCGTATTGGGCCTTTGAGAGTCAAAGTTCCATTCGTCAGATGTGATGAAGGGAGCTTTGACTTGACGTTTACACCTTTAGAGATCTTGCTGGTCTTAAGGTGCTACTGGACTGAAGTCTCGCTCTGCTGTTGCAGAACAACCTGGCTACCCACCCGAAACCAGGCACTTCATTGGCATCAGTTGCCACGTTCAGCCGGGAAACATCAGCTCTTAGCACATGATGTACATGCAGGCCTTATTCGTTTCTTTATCCGATTTTTTAAGGCCTGCCCTTCCCTGCAAGCTTACAATAAAATTCAATGTAACATACCACAGAACACAAGACTACCAAAATTAAAAGTTAAAACCTACAACAAGTAACAGTTAATACATGGAAACAGTCAGCTCAGGATGGCAGAAAACAGAATCACGGAGTCATAGAGTCGGAAGGGATCTCCAAGGGTCATCTAGTCTAACCCCCTGCACAAGGCAGGAAATTCACAAATAGCTCCCCCAAGCACACACACCCAGTGACCCCTGTTCCACACCCAGAAGATGACCAAAACAAAAACAACAACCCTCCAGGATGTCCAGCCAAACTGGCCTGGAGAAAAAGTGCTTCCTGACCCCAAAGTGGTGATCAGCATTTCCCTGGGCGTGTAAGAAAGGGCCACAAGAACTGAGCACTGAGGCAACCCTCCCTTGCCCTCCCTTCTTGTGATCTGCCCAAGTTCACAGAATCCGCATCGCTGTCCGATGGCCATCTAGCCTCCCTGCTGCCAAACCCCCAAAGAAGGAAAGTCCACCAGCTCCCAAGGAAGCCTGTCCCACTGCGGAACCACTCTAACTGTCAGGAAGTTCTTCCTGGTGTTTAGCTGAAAACTCTTCTTGATTTAATTTCAACCCCTTGGTTCTGGTCCGACCTTCTGGGGCAACAGGCAACAACTCCGTACCATCATCTCTATGACAGCCCTTTGAGTACTTGAAGGTGGTTATCACAGTTAAACGATAAAATTTTCACAGGCCTCCTGGGGGGGGGGGGGTTGGGCGGGGGGGGGGGACAGTTGTGGGCAGTCTGGCTGGTGCAGGGGGAGCTTGATCAGGGTAGTGGGAGAGTTGGTTCTGGTCTGACCTTCTGGGGCAACAGGAAACAACTCCGTACCATCATCTCTACGACAGCCCTTTGAGTACTTGAAGGTGGTTATTACAGTTAAACGATAAAATTTTCACAGGCCTCCTGGGGGGGGGATTGGGCGGTGGGAGGGTATCAGAGTGCCAGACCTCATACTGTACCCGTTGCTGTCCTCAACCAGACGCCTGGCAGAACCTCTCTGCCTTGCAAGCCCTGTGTAAAGGCAGTAGATCCTGCAGGGCACGTCGGTGTTCTCCAGCAGAGCATTCCACCAGACCGGGGCCAGGGCCCGGCCCAAAAAAGCCCTGGCCATGGTTGAGGACAACCGGATCTCTCTCGGGCCGGGGACCACCAAGAGGTGTAACGCTCGTCTGGGGGCATACTGAGAGAGGGGGTCCTGAATATATGTAGACCCCTGCCCCTTACGGCCATCAAGGCCAACACCAACACCTTGAACTTGATCCAGTACTCCACTGGCAACCATAGGTGCTGTCCGAGGGGTCCCTGTAAGGACCCGCGTGGCTGTGTTCTGAATTTCCAGGTCACCCTCAAGGGTAGGCCTGTGTAGAGCAAGTTACAGTAGTCTACCCCGGAGGTGACTGTTGCATGGATTACTTATGACCAGGGCTTTTTTTTGTGAAAAAGCCCAGCAGGAACTCATTAGCATAATAGGCCATACCCAACAGCAGAAACTCATTAGCATATTGGGCCACACCCCCATGCCTTCCCTTGGCTTGCCCGGGTGCCCTGCGGCTGTGGGGAGCCTGGGCAAGCCGGCCCTTGGACAGGCCGGGGAGGCATTTCCAGGGGCCCCCTGGCCCGCCTGCCTCGGAGTCGTGGGAGGGGGGTCGCTCTCCAGGCCTTCCCTTTGCAGCCAGTCAACGCAGAGGTTTTGGCTGTAGTGGGCGTGGCCAACTCTGAAGCCAGCCAGAACTCCGTTCCTGTGCGTTCCTGCCCAAAAATAGCCCTGCTTATGACAAATGGCTGCCAACCACATAATCCAGCATATCTAAACATACTTCACTCTTAGCACATATTAGGGGACCCTGTCGGCATCCTGCAATCAGCTTACAGGAAGTTTAATGTCTAGTCGTGAACACGCCCAACCGCTACTGTAAATCTACACCTCTGCTTCGGTACCATAGTTTATCTCAACCAACAACTTCACACAAGGGAATTTATTAAATGTATCGTTCCTTTTGTATTACTTATTTTTTGACATAGGCAGCTGCACACCTGTTAGAAGTTGTGTTGTTTGAAAAACTAATAGAATTTATTATGCAAAACAAAATGGCCTTAGACAAATGTGCGGAGGCTAGACCCTACCGGGCAAAAAAAACAAAATGGAACTTCCATGATCCGAAGCAGACTACCTCTGAGAACAAAGTGCTGGGGAGCAAACAAGAGTGGCCAGCTGCCGCCATGGTGCCTGGCTAATGTGGCCCCAGATCCCTCTGGCTGCCCGTGGATGGAGACATAATACCAAGTGGACCTTAGTCTGATTCAGTGAGACAGTTTTCCCACCCTTAATTATTCAAACCCCCTTGACTTCCTTTGCAGGAGACCGGCCAATACCCCGTGGAGCTGGTACGAGGACCCAAAGGCTTTGGCTTTAGCCTGCGAGGCGGGAGCGAATATACCTACCGGGCAAAAAAAACAAAATGGAACCTCCATGATCCGAAGCAGTCTACCTCTGAAAACAAGATGCTGGGGAGCAAACGAGAGTGGACGGCCGCCGCCATGGTGCCTGGCTAATATGGCCCCCAGATACCTCTGGCTGCCCATGGATGGAGACATAATACCAGATGGACCTTAGTCTGATTCAGCGAGACAGTTTTCACACCCTTAATTATTCAAACCCCCTTGACTTCCTTTGCAGGAGACCGGCCAATACCCCGTGGAGCTGGTACGAGGACCCAAAGGCTTTGGCTTTAGCCTGCGAGGCGGGAGCGAATATAACATGGACATCTATGTCTTGGCTCTCATGGAAGGTGGACCGGCCCAGCAATGTGGCAAGATTCAGGTACGTGATGCTCTCGGGGGCTGGCGGGGCCATTCCTGGCATTGTAGTACCACTGAAGCCAAATATTAGAAGCCTCCCTTTTCTCTGAGCGCTGTTTCATTGACGGAGGGGCTGTGGGCGGACGGTACAGGTGCAAGCAGAAGGTCCCAGGTTTATTTTTATTTATTAATTTCTTTTCTTAGATTTATATCCCGCCCTCCCCGCGGGCTCAGGGTGGCTTACGAGGTCACGTAGTATTGGGATAAAAACAGGAAAGAAGGGTCTACAATCCAGGCATTTGACATTTAAAATTACATGCTCAAAAGCCAACGGAGAAGTTATCACAAGAGTGACACAAAAATAGAAACTTCTGAGCAGCGTCGTGGGATGTTAAGCTACTAACCACTGGGCTGGGCTAACAGCAGGGGCGGCCGAAAAGACGGAGGTTTGGGCACCCACCGCCTCAACTAAAAGCCCGGCGGAACGGCAGCATTTTACGGGCCCTGCGGAATTGCAACAGGTCCCACAGGGCCCGGATCTCAGATAGGAGCTTGATCCACCAGGCTGGGGCCAGAGCCTTAAAAGCCCTGGCCCTAGTTGAGGCCAGTCGGACATCCTTTGGGCCAGGGATTACCAGAAGGGTGATGACTGGTTGAGCGTAAAGCTATGCAGGGCATGTACGGGAAGAGCGTGGGATGTTAAGCTACTAACCACTGGGCTGGGCTAACAGCAGGGGCGGCCGAAAAGACGGAGGTTTGGGCACCCACCGCCTCAACTAAAAGCCTGGCGGGACGGCAGCATTTTACGGGCCCTGTGGAATTGCGACAGGCCCCACAGGCCCCGGATCTCAGATAAGAGCTTAATCCACCAGGCTGGGGCCAGAGCCTTAAAAGCCCTGGCCCTAGTTGAGGCCAGTCGGACATCCTTTGGGCCAGGGATTACCAGAAGGGTGATGACTGGTTGAGCGTAAAGCTATGCAGGGCATGTACGGGAAGAGACGGTCCCTGAGATACGCAGGTCCCTGGCCTCATAGGGCTTGGAAAGTCAACACTAGAACCTTGAACTGGATCCGGTACTCTATAGGCAGCCAGTGCAGTTGGCGGAGCACCGGCTGAATGTGAGCCCGCATTCAATCCCTGGCAGGTCCAGTTATGAAGAACAGGTAGTCGGTGATATGACCTGGAAGTCAGGTGATATGACCTGGTGATATGACCTGGAAGTCAGGGAACTGACTTAATAAAAGGCAGCTTGATTTGGAAAGGGGCCGTGGCTCGGTGGGGAAGCATCTGCTTTCCATGCAGAAGGTCCCAGGTTGAATCCTCGGCATCTTCCTTTAAAAGGACTATGTGGCAGACAAAAGACTACCTGTGACTCTGGAAGACATTGTCAGAGTAGACCATACTGACCTTGACCATACTGACCCTGGCTCTGTGCAAGAGCCTCTGCTTGGAATGCAGAAGGTCCCAGGCTCAATCCCCGGCATCCCCAGTTAAAAGGACCAGGCAGAAGGGGTTGAGAAAGACCTTAACCTGAGACCCTGGCTCAGTGGAAGAGCCCCTGCTTGGCATGTGGAAGGTCCCAGGTTCAATCTCTGGCCTCTCCAGTTAAAAGGACCAGGCAGGAGGTGATGAGAAAGACCTTGACCTGAAACCCCGGCTCAGTGGCAGAGCCTCTGCTTGGCATGCAGAAGGTCCCAGGTTCAATCCCCAGCATCTCCAGTTAAAAGGACCAGGCAGGAGGTGATGGGAGAGACCTTGACCTGAGACCCCGGCTCAGTGGAAGAGCCTCTGCTTGGCACACAGAAGGTCCCAGGTTCAATCCTCAGCACCTCCAGCTAAAAGGATCAGGCAGGAGGTAATAAGAAAGACCTTGGCTCTGTGACAGAGCATCTGCTTGGCATGCAGAAGGTCCCAGGTTCCATCCCTGGCATCTCCAGTTAAAAAGAATCAGGTAGTAGGTGATGCAAAAGACCTACACCTGAGACCCTGGAGAGCTGAGGCCAGTCTGAGGAGACTATAATTGACCTTGATAGACAAAGGGTCTGATTCTGAATAAGGCAGCTTCATGCGTGTTCATGTCTGTGTGTTCAGTACAAAAGGGGAAGGGAGGCAATGCACCCACCAGGGACTGGCTCACTTCCAGCCAACAGTGGCACAGGAGCTAACTGGCATCCCCTCCTGGGTCTGTGTTGTCACCAGTCAGGTCCAAGGTCTGTGTGAAATCTCACTCCCACCTACACACACCTTTGATGGAGACACTCGGGGTGGAATGGAGGCAGTATGGGTCAGTGCTGCCATGCTGGGGAGGTTTAACTCTTCCCCCTGCTTCAGCTTTTCCCTTCATGGGCTTGTAGCCCTGGTAGGGGAAAAGACAGGCTTAAAACTGTCTTTTCCCCACCTACCAGGACTAAAAACAGTTATGCAGGAGACATTTCTGATCAGAGAAATGGCATGGGGGGTGGGGAGGATAAGTCCCACCTTCCTTCCCCATCCGTGCAGATCTGATGCATTCTACCAAACACAGAGACCGATTCCCCACAAGCAGCCGTGCCGCCCTGGCTCTTCCGTCCCCCCCCCCCGCTTGCATTGGTCGATTTCACACTATTTGCTGCGCGGCCACATTTTGACCCGCAGCTCCCCCCCCCCCCACCATTTTCTCTCACACTTGACCAACCACAAAC